GCAGGATAAAAGTTAATGGTGTCTGTTGCCGTGACTCTGAGCTGATGCTGCTCCAGAGCTGTCCCCCACAACTCCCAAAATTCTGCTGAGCTGCCGGGGCTGCGTGTCGGGGTGTGTGAAGCCCAGGCTGTTCCCTACTAGGTGTTTGTCGATGTCCCCCCTCCGGCTCCACACGAGCTGCAGTGCTCTGTCAGGTCCCCGATAATTAACGTTGTCTTGGGGGTCCCCTGAGTCTTTGCACCCTCCTTGGAGAGAGCAGGAGGTGGGCTGGGTGCTGGGGGAGGCTCTCAGTGGAGGTCTGGAGGATCCTCGTTTAGGGCTAATTCTTATTAAAAAAACATGTTTATCAGTGATCTGGAAAAAAATGCAAGTTAATGGCGGGAGGGCTGGAGAAGATGCAACAACTTAGAGAATGATAAATAATGAAGAGGACAGGTCCTTGGTACAGAGTGACCTTGATTGCTTAGCTGGAGGCTGTGTTTTGCAAGCGACAGTCATTGCACTGAAGCAAGATCTAATGCTTTACATCTTAAAAAAATATTAAAATTGAGCCAAGAGGATGGGGAGTTCTCACTGGGGAGTTCATCTTTGAAAAAAACGCAAATGCATTCTGGCTTTTATTCTTGGTTTTGAATCTTGCGTGCAATTTAGAGCCAGCCCTCCCTCTTCTGCTGCAGAAGAGTCTTGAGTGGCTTCCGAACAGGGAGACATGAAGTAGGTTGGGCCTTTTAATCCGGAGAAGAGGACTGAGGGGGGCATGAGCGAGGGGTGTAAATCATTAATGGGCTGCGGGTGGAGATTTCTTGTTCACCTCGTCTCCCCTGCCCAAGAACCAGGGGCAAAACAGGGGAAATGTTGCACTGCAGCATGCAGTGGATCCTGCATGGCCGAAAATTCACGAATCCAGCCAGGGCACTTCCCAAAAAACCTGCTGTGTTTCAAATCCAGCCTTTGAACGCGAGGGAGCATTTTGAAAGGAAACATCCTAACGATCATTTACACAGGAACTCAGAGTGGTGAATAATAATGACTTTTGTTTTGGATTTACACCTGGTGAAGAGCTGCCTCCAGATGTTTTTCCTACCACGTCCTTGAGACCGGCTGTAGGACGCTGAAGAGCAGCAGAGCCGCATTTATCTACCGCTGGTAGTGAAGCAGCGGGAGATGCTGGTGCAGATGCTTGTGCATTTGAGAACATTAATTAGTGTTTGTTGCTGTGTGGCAGAGGAGCACGCTGAGTGTTTTTCTGCACCTTGTTCCTGTCGAGTTGTCAGGAAAGGCAGCGCTGCCTGTTACACTTTGTCCTGGCGAGGAGTGAGCGGGCGCCGCAGATTCCAGCCCACATCTGCAAACGCTCGAGCTGCACTGGGCCGGGGGCCTGTTCCTCCCCGTTCCTGGAGAGATGCCCTTGAATGTCAGAGCTGTGGTTACCACAATCGCTCCGCAGAGAGTGGCTCCCACTCCTTCGGGCACCACAAAATCCTTTTTTACCTCCTGCTGCCAGCCTAGGTGCGGCTGAAACGCTGGGCTGTGACAGGGACGTCCCACCTCCCCGGTGCTCGGAGCTTAACGAAGGGCAACAGAAATGCTGTAATTAAAACAAGTGTTTGGAGGAAGGGGAAGTGATGTCTTCATCTCGGACACGCAGAGAGTGGTGGCCTGAACCAGCCCTTTCCAGGGCGCTTGGTGGATCCTTTCTGGGGCTGTGTCCCGCGCGCCCCGATAATTGCTGTAGTGAGAGTGAGAACTGGGCTGTCTGAGCGGGGCTGTGAGCTCAGAGCTGTTTATGTCTGTCTCACAAACAAGGTATTACAGCTGAGCAGACTAATTACAGGGCGTCACAAACAATGAACCCCGGGGCAGAGTCTAGAGACTCTTGTTAAGAGCTCAGCGTAGGAGAGAGATTTGTCGAGGAACAGCCCAGATCCTCTGGTGTTAAGATTGATTTTAAGATACAAACGGCGGAAGTGGCGAATCCCCTCCCAGCCCCATTTTGCTGGCGTCTTCAGGCATCTGTTTGGCACTCACGAAGCCTCTCTCTCTCCTCTCTTACAGATGTGTCGGTCGGCGATGCCTGCTGGCTCGGCTTGGCCCCAGCCTTTCTGTGCGACAGTGAGTCCCAGGTTTTACTCAGAGTAGTGGGTTTAAGTTCTTCCCAAGGGATCCCCTCTGGGGCTTCGGGGCGCACGCACGCTCCCTCCGCTCAGTAATTCTGGTCAATCAGCGCCATGTGTTGGGTGGGTGCCGGCCGCCTCGCACCACGTGAAGGCACGGCCTGTGTCCGGGGGGGCTGGGGCCTGTGGACGGGGTGAGGGCAGAGCCTGGCCGGGGTCTCTGGCGGGGACGGCAGAACCCCTGCACCCCTCCATGCCGCTCTGCCCGACAGCTTTGTGCCTGAGGAGGGCTGCGAGCCGCGGAAGTCCCCTTGTTCTGTGCTTCGTGCTGCCAGGCTTAGGGAGAAATCGTTATTTTCTGCTAAATTGGTCTGTAAGTGTAATTGCTGTGTAATCTCGGGAACATTAAATTACAAGCTCTTTATTTGGTACAGTGTGCAATTACCGTGGCAGTAAAGAGCAGGTTGCATGTTATCAGGATTATATAATGTGTTATCTGATATCCTATACCCTGATTTGGGTGGTGCTGGGGGGAGGATTCCAGCGCAGCAGCTTCCCATCCCCGCGGTGTTGTTGGGGTTCTCTGGGGAGTGCTGGCAGGGACCCCCCCCTTGCCCTGGCCCTGCGGAGCCCAGTTCCACCCCCACCTGTGTCCCCGCACCTCCCGTCCCCTCTTCTTCCGCAGCGTTGTCCCGATGGGAACGACGGCCAAGGAGGAGATGGCCCGCTTCTGGGAGAAGAACACCAAGTCCAATCGCCCCCTGTCCCCTCACGTCACCATTTACAAGTAAGAGCCTCTCGGCCTCCTCAGCGTCGTGCTGGGGCTCTGCCAGGCTCTGGCACACGACAGCCCTGTCCCCGGGGGCACCCTGGGCTGGGAGGGCTGCGCGTTCCCACTCCCCCCTCGGACAGAGCACGGAGAGACCCCTGCACAGTGCTGCGAACCTCTGGGCTGTGCAGGGGATCACAGCTGCCCCTGGGGAGCTGATGACACTCGCTGTTCACACACAGAGTGTCGCGGAGGGGGGCAGCCCCCCGGCGCTGTGGCAGCGTTCTGCTGGGAGGTGGCGGCTGCGCGTCCTCGGGGGCGGGGGGCCACCGCAGGGCTCTCGGGCTCCTCCTCAGAGGTGGCAGCATCTTTGGGGCCCCCTCTGTCGCTTTTCCAGGTTCTTTTGTTGAGCCTGGATGCCCCAACCCTGCCCCTTTGTTCCTAACTGTCTCCTGTTTTCATCTCCCTTTAAGCTTTCTCAGCAGACGCCCTTCCCCTTCCCAAGCCTGTGCCAGTGGCATTTGCCATTCCCAAGCTGCCTCTGCAAATTCCCCCGTCTCCCCCTTTTGCTCTGGCTGGATTCCTTGAATACCTCCGAGCGCAGAAGTGCCTGCCCGGCAGCTGGAGCTCTCTAGGAACAGCGGGGCTGTGCAGCGTCCCACGGTGCGGGGCCGGTTTGCTGACAGTGTGCCCTGTCTTGCAGGTGGTCGCTGCCCATGGCCATGTCCATCACGCATCGGGGCACCGGCGTGGTGCTGAGCTTAGGTGCGTGCGTCTGCCCCGCTCGTGGCGACGGGGGTTGGGGGCTGAGGGAGGGAAGAGCCCCCCGATTCGGGGATGTGGCTCCAGTGGGTGTTTTCTGCCCTCTGTCCCCAGTGTCAGCAGCGGGTTTTCTCCTGGGAAACCTGCGCTTTCTCCCTCCCCTGAACATCTCCCCATCCCCATTTCTCTGTCCCTGGGTCGTCTTGTGCTGCGAGGGGCCCCACTCCTGCAAAGGGGACGCTCCCCCGCACGTACGGGCCTTCGAAGCCTCTGTAGCACCGGGCTCAGCCTGGCCGTTTGCTTCCTCCAGCCTGGAAAAGGCCCATCAGCTGCTTTGGTTCTCAGCCCTTCTCTTCCGAGGCTGTTTTTTGCTGGTTTATCCTCACAGGAGACGCTGTGTGAGGGAAGGGCTGACAGCCAGGCAGAGCTCGGGGGATTTCCCTTAGCACAGGTGGAGAGTTTCAGTTTTCTGGGAACGGCTGCTCCTTTCCCAGAGGTCCCAGTGGGGGAGAAGGCAGCACCAGCGTTAAACCCCAAAACTCTCTCCAGCACTTGGACCTGCGCAGTTTGCCGAAGCGACAGGGCATCCAGCTGGGAAGGGCTGTTCCATTCCCACTGACACTCTCTCGTGGCAGCAGGAAGGTGCTTCTCTGGTAGCTCGCTGCTGGGGGGCAGCTGGGTTGGTGTTTGCAGAAAGGCAGAGAGTGAAGGGACTCAGAAAAGGTGCAGGAACTTGTGTCCTTCACCCGGCAGTGAGCAGGGGCAGCAAGGGCCTCCCGGTCGCCTTCCTGATCTGGGCACTTTGCTGAAGAGCTGCTGCCTTAATGTTTTCTTTAGCCTCAAGTTTGGGCTGGTTTGGCTGCAGCTGCGTGAGCTCACACCAGCTGGTCTCTGGGTGTTGTACGAGTAGCGCAGACCTGGTGCAGGCCCGGACTCGGGGCGTTGCAACCGCAGTTTGAGCCCTCGGCACCCCGAGGTGCCTCGTCACGGTGCAGCTGGTGCTTCCCCTTCCCCCTCCTCCTCCCTCCTGGGAGCTGATGGTTCAGGCTGTGTCACAATCCAGGGACAGGGAGGTGACCTGGGGCGCTCTGCAGGCAGCGAGGGGTTGGAAACGCTTCCGCCGGCCTGACCTGCGGCCTTTGTCTTTCCCAGGAGTCTCCCTCTTCGGCCTGGCCGCGCTGCTGCTCCCAGAGCAGTTTCCCCACTACCTGGCCATGGTGAAGTCGCTCAGCCTGGGGCCCGCACTCATCTACTCTGCTAAGTTCGCTCTGGCTTTCCCCTTCTCCTACCACACCTGGAATGGAGTCCGACACCTTGTGAGTAGCCTCCGCGGGGGGCCGGGGGCCGAGGGAGGGGAAGCGTCTGCTGGCTGCGGGAGCGCCGGCTGCAGCATCTGGGAAGGTGCCCTTGGAGATGGGGATTAGTCACCTCAAGTGCTTCAGAACTTTGGCGCTATTTTTGGGTATGTTTAAATTGCAAAGAGCATCGCTGTGCCGGTACTTGAGCGGGTGACACAGCTGGGGGGAGCATCCCCCCGCGTCTCCTGGGCTGCGGGACGGACGAGGGGCGTCGGGAGCCGCTCACGGCCCTGGGACATGTCTGCGCTGCCCGCCTGTCACTCGTTGCTCGTTATCTCGCCCTCCTCGTGCTGCCGTTGCACTCTGATCTTCCAAGTGCTTTGTATTATTTAATGAGCACAGAGGATGCGTGGCAGAGGATTGGAGATGGCGCTGCCTGCAAGAAATAACCTGTGATATTCGCCCCGGGCTGGAGCGAGGAACAAGCGGCTCCGTTTGGTGGAGCTTCCTGTATTTGACAAAGGAGGGGGAGCTGGAGCGCTGAGTGTTTCTTGCTGGGAACAGTGTGAGACGTGCTGCTTTTTGTAGTTGATTCTGTGTTTTCTGTAGCTCCAGATAGGTTCAGTTTTTACAGGAGCAAATCGCAAAGGCAGCTGGCCCGGAGTGTGACACGATCCTTCTGCTTGGGGCGGGGGGAGCGTCACGTGCGGAGCCGTGCTGCAGATGTGGGCTCGTGCTGCGGGCGCTGAGGGCTCCCAGTATTTCCAGCGTGGAAACACGGGATTTGAGCGCTGCTGGATGTTGTATCCTGCACCTGAGAGCAGCCGTTAGAGGGGCTCGTGCCGGGAGGCGCCTGGCCGAGCTCTTGGGGGGAGCGACAGCCCCGTGCTGCCAGGGGAGCCCTCGGGGCGGATGCTGGCAGTGCTGCGGGTGCTCGTCACCCGCTTCTCTGGCACCCGGCGTCAGACGAGGTCTTGCAGCACGGGACCTGCAGCCGGCTGAGCCCTGCTCGCTCGTGGAGACGCTGCCGGGCAAACGGAGCTGTCACAACCGGCTGCTTGTTGGGAGCGTCGTGAGCCCAATGCGTGCTGAAGTCCCTGCCGGCACGTATATACCGGGATGCCAATTAAATTGTCTGCGAAGGAAACCAGCAGTGCTGGCCCCCGGCGGCGCTCAGTCAGTGACAGAGGGGGAGTCCACGGGGAGCAGGTTCAGTTTAGTGCCTCTACCCCTGGTGCTTTGAGCCCCGGCGCTGGCTGCAGGCTGGGGGGAGGTTGTGCTGCCCAGGCTGCCCGTAGCCACCCTGGCTCTGCTCGGCTGAAGGCAGGAGAGGTGCAGACCCCCCCCGCGGCACCTGGGGATGGAGCACCCTGGCTCCGGGGCGCCGTTCAGCATCCCCCCGCCCTCAGGGTCCGCCTGGCCTCTGTGGCTCGTGCCTGGGAGCGGACGCAGAGGTGCGGGAGGCTGAGGCTCAGATGTGCAGCTTGTGCCGCGCTTTGTAACCCACTTCTGCCAGTGGGAGAAGCGAGCGGAGAGCAGCTGCCGCTCCCGAAGCCAACCTGGCGCTGCGGCTGCCGGGATTAGGGAGAGCTCACGGGCGGCTTTGCCGATAGACGCAGGGGCCTGGTGGGGGATGAGCTTCCTCCACACGGACGCGCCAGCAACCGGCGCTTGCAGCCCTCCCTCCGGTCTGTACCCACTGGCCCAAAGGCTGTTTTTTTGGGGGGTCTGGCCATTTTCTACCAGACAGCTGGTACCTGTCTGCCTGCGTCTGGCACGTCCCACACCAGGGACCGTCCCAGCCCTCTGGAATTAACCCTGATGTATCTCATCTTTCTTGCAGGCGTGGGACATGGGGAAGGGGTTCAAGATCCCCCAGGTCAACCAGTCTGGGGTGCTGGTCCTGATCCTGACCCTGCTCTCCTCTGCGGGCCTCGCGGCGATGTGAAGGAACCTCCCAGTTGACGGCCTCCCTCTTTTTGGAAGATTTGCTCCATCCTGGCCCACCTCAAGATGTGTGTGGAGAGGGAGGTGGGAGGACAGGCTCCTGAGTAACTACAAATCTTTGGGGAAGGTGACGCTTCCCCTCCTCGCAGATCTCGTGTGGGATCAGAGTTGCTTTCCGTTAGCCTGGGTGATGTGCTAACCCCCTCGCAGCAGTCTCCGGCCGTGCCACATGCCCAAGCAGCCACAGAGAGCAAATTACCAGCTGATCCTGGCACGTTCAGTCGCTCGCAGAGAGCTGCCTGGCTTCTTCCAGGCGAGCTCCGGGGCGTTTCTTTTCTGTGCTCTGTCCCCAGGCTTGAGACAATGCTGAATCTGTGTCCCCCAGGTCCGAGTGGGCTCAGGGACGGCTGCTCGTGCGTGTGTAGGCCCGGCGCAGGACAAGCCTCTGCATTGAGGCAGCCCGTGCCAGGGCCGGGAGAGCGGGCGGAGCTGCCAACGCCGGCACCCGCGAGGGGAACGGGGGGTCGGTGCCATCCAGGTGCCGCAGCAGCCGCGGGACCCTGTCTGAGCCCGGCAGCGTGAGCCACCTGGGACAGGGTGCTCGGACCCACGGAGTGAGTCCCCGCTCCTCCTTATCCCTGAACATGGCACAGTTCAGCCAGTTTTGGGGCCCTGGAGCCCCTGCCTGTGAAAAACGTCCGATTTTCCTCTGTTAGGAGGTTACTCTGTCCCTGGCGCACGGGGGGGCGGACATCGTTTTCTGATCGCCTGTTGCCACCGGCTCTCATTCCAGCACTTGTCACTCATCCACCTTTGCAATAAAGCAGCCTTGATCCTCCGCACCGAGGAGTTTGTGTTTGTCATCTGTGCTGACCCGTCACTCGGGTGAAGCCGGCCGGGAAGGGGCGTTTTATCTGGGGAGCTGCCACTTCCCCGGGCGATGGAAAAACAAACTGTTGGCAGCACCGTGAGGCAGGTGCAGTGCCCTCCCGCCCACCGGAGGTGCTGGGTGCGGGGCTGACTTGTCTGTGGAATGCTGCCAGCCCAGCAAAAAGGAATTTCCTACCTGGACTGTGGTGGTTTGTGCTGGCACAAATGCCTCTCAGATGCCCAGGAACTTTTTGCTCAAATTAGCCAACTTTTAACGTTTCCCACTGGGAGCAAAGCTTTGGTGAGAGCACGCTGCCTGTCAGGAGCTTTGTCCTGCTTTCCTGTCCCAGCGAGGGTCTCGGCTCTTTCGGGAAGGATCCTCCTTCCCACTCACATCACCAGCCGGCAGAATGTCGCCTTTTGGGGAACATCTGCTCCGAGGGGGCCTTTGATGGAGACCTGAGGGAGCGGCAGGAGGGCGCTGGTCCTGTAACACGCTCCGAGGCCCCTCGCGCCGGCCAGGCTTGTTTCCATGCGACTGCTTTTACTTCTGCCGGTCCAAGCCCCATCCCTGCTGCTCAGCTCCTCTGCCCGCCCGCCGGCCCTAACAAATCTACCACTCCTTGAATTAGCAGGAGGCATCGCAGCCCCGAGGGGATGTGGAGCCTCGAGATGAGCAATCACGGAGGAGGGAAAACGCTGCTGTCAGAGTGGCACAGGGAGAAGACTTACTGCTGAATCCGTTTGGTGTAGCCGCACGCCCCAGCAGGAGAGAGCTTCTGGGTGAAAAACGAATGTATTTTAGCTTTAAACCAATTACTTCCTGCAGTTGCTGAAACGGCTTTTATTTGGAACCC